TTTTAATAGCTACATAGTTTCCATTATGAATGTACTACAATTTACCCGTCTACTTTTGCAGGACATTTGAGGTCTTTTCATTTGTTGGCATCCACCTGCAGTGTTGCTGTGAGCATTTTTGTACATGCCTCCTGGGGTGTATATCCAGGAGTTACTGTAGGCTAGGATATGATCTAGTAAATGGTTATATATATCCGTTTACACTTTGACCAGCAGTGTATGAAAAGTTCCTGGTGCCCTGTATCCTCAACAGCATTTGTCATTGTCACATACTTTTTCTGACATGAAATACTACTTCTCATTTGATTTGTAGATCATTACCTTCTCTTGGTTCTTCTAGCCACACCGCCCTCTCCTCAGTTATGTTTGTTTTTCCCCACCTTCCTGGTTTCTGAATATTTAAGTGTCCCAGCGTACAGTCCTCAGACTATTTCGTCTCTTCATTTATACCCCCTCTTTAGGCAACCTCATCTAGTCCCTTGTCATGAAATATATGTATCTCTACTACCAGCCCTGACCACAGACCCAGATATCCGAAGTCCTCTTTGGTGTCTCCATGGGGAAGTCTAAGAGACACCTCAAACTTAAGATGTCTAAAACTCAAATTCCTGTCCTTAACCCTGCTTCTGATCTCCTCTTGACGTAGTTATCCCCATCCCAGTCGTTGGGAACTCTGTCTCTCTGTGTACTCAAATCAGACACCTTCACCCTTGAGTCCTCTTTTTCTTTGACTCTGATCCTGACCATCAGCAAATCCTGTCTGTTTTACTCTCAAAGTATGTCCAGAATTGAGCTATTTGTTTAACTTCTTCACTGCTGTGTTCCTGACCTAACCTGTCATCATCTCTCACCCTGATTATTGCAGTTGTCTCTCCTATCTGGTCTTCCTATTTCTGCCCTTGTCCCCAGTGTCTGTTTTCGACAAAGCTGCGGTTCTTTCTTTCTTTCTTTCTTTCTTTCTTTCTTTCTTTCTTTCTTTCTTTCTTTCTTTCTTTTCTTTTCTTTTCTTTTTCATTTCTTTTCTTTTTCTTAACTTTGTATCTGGAAATAATTACAGATTTCACAGAAAGTTGCAGAGATAGCACAGAGAGGTTGCATGTACCCTTCACCCAATTTCTCGCAGGTTACATCTTATGTGACTAAGTACACTATTAAAACCAAAAAACTGATACTGATACAACTTGTATTTGTTTTATGGCATTTTTATCACACGTGTTG